CCTCTGCTCAGAAGCAATTAGGAGATAATTAACATTTGTAGCAAACAGCGGGAAACATCTGGGCCTGATAAGGTACCAGGAGCCCTCGAGGGTGATTAATGGGGCTGGAGGAAGGAGAGCAGTGGGTGGTGTGGCAGAACATTGTGCTGGTGGGGAAGGGCTGGGGACTGGAGGGAATGGGATGGGATGGGAATGTCTCCAGGGGATGATCCAGGGATGGGGATGCCTCTTCCCACCCTCCTCCCAAGCAAAGATGGGAAAGCAGCACTATCCCCCCCAGGAAGGGTTCCTCAGCTGGGAGCCCATCACTAGGAAAAGACCTGGATTTAAAGGAAGAAGAGAGGGCATTTGGTGGAGCTAGAATTTATTTTGTGTGACTCCCACTTAATTAAGTATTTCATTTGCATAACCCTGTGCATGTACTCACTGCTGTCATCAAGAAATTCAGCCATGTGGAAACAGTTTGCAAAAATAACACACATAACTCAAAGTTACACAGTTGTAAGAATGGGTTTACACGATGAGGTTAAACAGGCCTGACAGGCAGCCTAGAACCCCCTTCTCCTTCCTCTTCCCCTTCCTTTCTTCTTCTCTAAAGAGAGGAATAAACTTCTGCATTGATTTCTGGAGAAATATTTGGGATGTTGCTGGGCTTCATCAGCTCCTCCCTGGTAATTCCCTTTCTGACCACCCTGCTGTGGAGTTCTATAGCAGAAGGGGAGCCTTGGGCTCCCTGGAGCCACTCACACATTATTTCCCTGTGAATCAGTGAAAGGCCAAGCCAAGGGGTCCTCAAGGCCTCCCATAACCTTATTAAACCTTTCCCTCGTCCCTAAAGGTGCCGTGCCCAGGCCTCTCCAGCCTTTCACCGGCAGTGTGTGGGTTGGATTATGAAGAAGCCAAAAATACAGCCCTGCGCACACAGAGACACATTTTTAGGGCTGTGCTGACCTTCTGCAGTATCCTTCTGTCCTCCCCGTGTGACACCAGGAGAAATATCCCCGGTGACACTTGGTGGCCGCACGAGTGGCCCGCGAGCGAGCGGCTCCGCGCGCGTGGGCTCGGCCGCCGGGAGGGCTCAGTGCCAAGGGATGCTCAGCAAACCCAGCTGACATTTCCCAGTGTGACAGTAATAAAGGTGGGCTGGAGCAGGGCAGAGCTCCGGAGGCACTGGGGAGAAGCCAGAATGTCCCTGAGGAGGGGGACTCTGAGGTCCGTCCCACCCTCCCCCAGCTCGTTCCCTTTCCCACCCAGCCCGAGCGATGCCGAGCACTGGGGCAGCAGTTCCTGGGCTCCCCCCAGCCCAGTGCAGACACACAGCCCTGCTCCAGCCTGGCATTTCTGGGGCACCCACGGCCACCTGAGCAGTGGCTGCTGAAGGAGACACGTGGGCCTGGCATGGGGAACAGCATCCTCACAGGCAGAGGTTTTTTGCCAGGATCAGAAAGTTTCCGAGGTGTTTGAAAAGTTCTGATTTGTTGAGCACGAACAGGTCGAGTTTGCTGCTCCCTCTGCCAGCCCAGGTGGTCGCTGCTGAGCCCAGAGGGTGGGGGGATTTCCAGGTAGCCAAATGCCACATGTTGATAGCCCCTGGGGCAGCTCCCCTCAGAGTTGTATACACGCCACAGAAAATTCCTTTGACCGTGATCCAAGAGGCTCTGGGAAGCTGCCGGATGCATCCCCTCTGTGAGCATCCCCTGGGATGCCCCAGAGCCATGCAGCCAGGGTTGCTGCTGCCCCAAATTCCCCTGTGAGCAATATTAGCAAAAAGCAACAAACCTCCTCATGCCCTTGACCCCCCTCAGCTGCCAGACCCACAAGGCCAGGAATACACACGTGTGGTTCTTACGGAGAGAACAATTCCAAATGTCTATAAATACCCAGGAAGGTAAATGCATTAACCTTATCATGATCCCAAAGTGTAATTACATACAGCCTGGCTCCCATGTAAATTAGTACATTAATAACAATTTTACTCTGTAATTACTGTTGTTTCTTAGATCTCGCAGCTATTTGCCCATTCAGTCCCACATGTGAGGGCATTCCCACCACCATTCCCACTGCTGGAGCAGCTTTGGCCAAACAGCTCCAGGCAATGCTCAGGAAACCTCTGTGCAGACCACAAAGTCTATTCAGAGTTTAAGTAAAGATACAAACAAACCAACCTGGTCCTAGTCCAGCCAAAGGGCTGCTTCCCAACGGAGGAGAAGAGTTTCTTCTGGCCAAGCTCCCTGAAGAGCTGAGTAGGATCAGCTCCAGTGTGGGAGGATAACTTACACTGGGAGCCTGTTCCCAGCACCTGGGGGATTCTCTGCTGGGTAAGGAGGCACCAGGACAGGGCACCAGCACACCAGGACCGAAGCCAAAGTCTGCTGGCAGCAGCACGTGGCAAAGGCGGCTGCAGAGCCACTGGATGCTCGGGGACCCCCAGGTTCCCCTGAGGGCCATCCCCAGGAGGGGGCCTCTCCATCGACTCAGGAAGAAGAAGGAGCATCCACTCGGATCTCCATGGAAACCAGGGAGCAGTGGGGAAGACTTTAATTTGAAGTGCTGATTCAGTGGAGGCCCTGGGAGCCACGGGCAGGAGATGAGCTGCATTAAGGAGCAGCAGGGGTGGGATGCAGCTCCGAAAATGGGTGCCAAAAGAGTATCTGATACCATTAGGCTTGAAAAGCTGCTGTGGGAGGCAGGGAGCTGAGCGGGGCCAGTGTCATGGCAAAGGATTTATTTAATTCATTTGGCCCTTTTTCCGTGTGCCAATTATCCATGGAGAGATTTCGTTTCTCTTTTTTTTTCTGAATTTGCTCGTTAATTGGCAGCGCAGGGGCAGATGGTTGGTGCAGGCAGAGCTCAGAGCATCCTCCTGCCCACGTCCCGGGCGAAGGCAAACCCTGACACCGTCCCCACACCGCAGGGACCGCGGGCACCTCCCGCTCCCAGCTCGCTCCCAGCTCCCTCCGCACGTACTTCAGAGATAAACAGAAGGCTGCAGCCTCCGAGGCTTTTATTGCAGGACTTTTCATTGACTGTAATTACTGAGGGATGTTTCCCCCGAGATAAGATCGGTGTGACATTTGCGCAGCCGAACCTCCTGGCACAGCCCGCTCTGCTCGCACAAACAGCGGCTCCTGCGGCAGGAGGCAAAGACACGTCCTGGGGCAGCTCCCCCCAACCTCCCAGGGAGGACCACAGGGTCAGCGAGCGAGGGAAAAGCAGAATGAGAACCCCATGCTAATCTGGGCTGGGAGGTGAGGAGGGGCTGTCAGCACCCGGCTCACTGTGCCCCTAAAATCAAGTGCTCTCTAAGCGTGGATTTGGGGTGCATTTTGATGTACCCCTTTGGGCACCTCACACCGATGAGTCAAGTGATCTGCTCACAAACCCTTCCTCATCATCTGATGGGATCTGCTGCAGGAGCAGCCTAAGCAGAGGGGCCTTCATTGCCTACAGCAACCACAGGGTTTATTTAAAAACCTTAATAGTCTTTGGAAATTACAAGCAAACACTCTGTGTTGACCTTCACTAAGGTGGCCGCAGCTTCCCACCTCCGTACAATAAATCAGTGGGTAAATGAACACAGAGACTCAATTCGTCATCAAATGTCAAGCCTGAGACAGAAAGACGGGAAATGATTTAAAAGCAACCAGCAGTTTAGAACTGCTGCAAATTTCTCATTATGGAACTGCGAATTGTTATGAAAAACTAATCTGTGTTTAAACTCTGGTCTGGAGCTGAAAATTGTGAAAAACCAATCTTTGTTTAAGCTCTGGTCTGCCCAGAGTAGCTGAGGCCCCTCTCCTTCACCCCATGGCTGGGGTGAGTCCCATCCAAGACCCCCAAAAGTCTTTGAGCATCACCACCATGAACGTCCCACTCTCCCTCAGACCTGGCAGGGGCCAAGCTCCATAGAGAGGATGTTGAGGTGTGTTTGTAAGCACCATCCCAAGGTGAGCATCCCTCCCTGACCAGCCACCTGCCCCACACAGGGGCCACTGCCATAAAATGTCACCATTGTGCAATGTCACCACGGTGCCCATCAACCTCCTCCCTGCAGGACCCAAGCAGGGAGCAAGGACATGCTTTGCAGAGTCCTTCACATCCCATCCCTTGCAGCAGAACCAGAGTGCAGCCGCCGCAGCTTGGAGGCTCCTCATCCCTCCTGCCAAGCTCCTTTCTCCAGAGACTCTAATAAAATGCATTTCTTCCAGCCAGAGTCTCACTTAGGGAACCTTCGCCTGGGCGTGATTGAGTGCACTTAATATAGTCGCTCTCACTGTAGAAAGGATTCTGAGCCTGGTCTTTGACAGCCTTGATCTTAAAGAAATCCATTAAGAGCAGCTTTATCTCTGGGTTTTGTAACCATTAAATCAGGTTTTATCAAGTGGGTGATGCGCTTTCAGGGAGACAAGCGAGAGAAACGTGGAATAAACCTCCCAAAGTCCCACCCTGGGGCTGCTGTGCCGGATTTGGGTGACAGGGAAATAACCAAGAGGAGGTCTGTCTGTGGGGGAAGCCCCCCAGGGTGATGCAGCCACCCTCTGCGTGGCCGAGCCTCCCCAGCAGGTCACAGCACCCTTTGCTGGATCCCACTGTGCCGCTTCCACGCGCCTCAATTGCCTCTCGGTTTGGCAGAGATGCTAAATACCCAATTCAGCTAATAAAGATGCCCGGTAATGTCATATTACAGGGCTGGCGAGCTCCCAGCAGATATTATGGTGAGGCTTTGTTTAATTAGAGGGTTCTCAGGCAGTCGCAATTTCCTCCTCATAATGGGGAAAACAAGCTGGGTTTAAAAGTTTGGGCTGGCAGTGAACCCTGCTGAGGCTCTGGCACCCTGGGAGCCACCTTCCCAACGGGCTTTAGCTGCTGCAGGAGCCTTGCACCCAACGCCTATGCCTCTTTTTCTTATTTTCTCAGTAGTAGTTGCCACTGTTTAGTGGTCCCTCCCTGCCCCAGGTGCTGCTGGTCTCCCCTCTCTCCTTATTCCTCTGCTGCTGCCCCAGCAGTGCCCATGTTCCAGTGGGCAGCAGCAGCACCACTTCCAAGGGCCCTGGCTGTAATGCCAAGCAGCTGGAACACAAAACACTTCCACTTCCTAAAGGAACAGTTTTATCAACTTTTCTTAACCTTCTTTTTCTTAAGTTCTCTAGATTTTGGGCCACGGTCCTGTGCTGCAGGGGAGCAGGCAGCACTCACCACACGAGCACCAGCTTAGCTCGAGTCCCTGTGTTGGCACATCATTCACCACTCAGGCTGCCTCTGCTGCGGGTACAGCACCAGCTCATTCATAAGCCTCAAGAAATATCGTTGTGTGAAAATGTAATAAAAATTATTCAGCTAATCTACTTTAATAACACAACTTCAGGGCCTCCCTGTGCCGCAGACAGTATAATCAGTTCTAAAATATGAGCTGTCATTTCCCATCAGTGCGAGGGAGGCAGAGGAACTCGGCACCCGACTTCATTGGGGCCACTGATTCACCAGCCTCGGGTGAATTCGTGAAGAGCAAGGCAGCATTTCCAGGGTGGTGGGCTGCCCTTCCCACCATTCCCATCCACAGTCCCTGCCCTGACCTCCAGGATGCTCCAGGGAATGGGGGTGACACAGAGGACCTCCAGCACTCGCCTCTACAAGACAGGGACACTGCAGATTTCCACCTCCTCCTGAAGAAAATGCTGCTGCACTCTGCCAGTTGTGCACAGCAATTTTAATGGGTCAAGCGTGAGTAAAAAGTATCAAAAATCCCAGAAAACCACTTCGGTGTGTACAAAACTCACTATACAGTCCAAAATACTTTAAAAATATTCCGCAGAATCAAATCTGCAAACTTTTTAAGTTAAAAAAAAGACTCCAAAGTGCCTAATATATTCTCATGTTTAACAAAAATAAAGATCCTGTGGTTGTAAAGTGCTGTAACAAACACATCTGCTCTCCCTGCTCCATCTCCCATGGATGGAGCCGTGTGGTACCACCAGCACTCCCGGCAGTGCCTGGGGATCCCAGTGACAGAGAGACCCCTGGTTTGGCGAGGTGACCACGAGGGGACCAAGCTCATCACCCCCCTTCAGACAACACGGGCACCCCCAAGGTCGTGCTGCCGGTGAGGCCACAGCTGGCGCAGGAACCAGCAGCTTTGCCAGGGCGGGCAGGCAGGGGAGCTCACTGGTAAAGGACCTTCACGCAGAAGGTCTCCTCGTTCTTGTCCTCGTGGTCATTGATGTGAATCAGGATCTCCTCCTCCCCCACGGCCTGGCTCGGGGCGAAGCGCAGCCCGATGGTGTAAACTTCCCCTCCAGCCACCTGTGGGACAGCGGGCAGGACGTGGCGGCAGGACCTGGACAGACCCCCTCACCTGCCCACCCTCCCCAGGCCAGCGTGGCCCTCCCACAGTGGCACACCGGGCACCTGCCAAGCACCCCACGGTCCAGCCCGATGAGCGCTGGCAAGGGGGAGCACTGGCAGCAGGACGTACCTCAAAGGAGTCCTCCTTGAACTGCAGCAGGTCGGGGCGGTTGGTGCACAGGAAGTAGAGCCGGGGCGAGGGGTAGGGGTTGGTGTAGGTGATGCGCTTGTTGCAGCCTCTCCCACCTCCCGCGGGCAGCGAGATCTCAAAGGCCTGGGGGGGAGCAGGAGCCGTGGGGGAGGCAGCACAGACAGCAGGGTGGGCAGCAGGAAAAATGGGAGCTCCCCCCAGCCAACCTTGGAGAACTGCCTCCCACATACTGCCTTCCCTCCCCTCCCACACCTCACATCTGCTCTGCCAGCCGGCAGAAAGAACCCACCTTTGAGCAAAAGCAGCAGCAATTAATTACCAGCCCAAAGGATGAAGGGCTGGGAGAGCAGAGGAGACTGGTCAGTTCCTTCTCCAGCTCATTCATGGATGTCCACGGGGACAGGCATGGCACTCCCTCAGATAACTAGATGGACTCAATGACCTTTAAAGGTCCCTTCCAACCCAAACTACTCTGATTCTCTAACATCCCGTGGCACCAGCAGCATGTGGCAGGACACTGGGGCATCAGTGTAAACGCCAATCTGAACCTCTCTTGATACCGAGGGGTTCAGGAAAATATTTTTAGAAGGAACACATTAGCCAGGAAATGTAATTTTCAGTCTTTGAGGCAAGGCCTCTGCCAGCACAGCGCTAATCGAAAGCAGCATGCTACAGCTCTAATTTCACAACCGGGAATACATCCGAGCTGCTGCTCCTCAGCGTGGGGCTGCCTCCAAAACAGCCTGAAAGGCATTTTACCAGGGGCTTCAGTGAGATTATTCAAGTGCCCCAGGGCTAAATGTGTGCTCAGGGTGGCAAGCGCCAAAAAAAACACAGATGGAAAGAGAGGAAGAAGCAGGAGACAGCCCCAGGTTACTGGCGGGACTGCGACCACCGATCCAGCACCATCACCACGTTTCTCACTCGCGAGAGCCGCCGTACCTTGGAGATGAGGGGCTGCCTGCAGGACAGGCAGAGCAGCCAGGAGGACACCAGCTGGTGGTACTCCACGTCCACCAGGTTGAGGTAGATGAACTTGCTGCCAGCCCGCCGCGGCCTCACACCAATATAGAGGTCCTGGATGCCATGGGCGGGGAGAAGGAAGGCACCGTTCGGATCCACCTGCGGAACAACACCCGGAGGTACAGCCGCCCACAGCCGATCACAGCCCTGCAATGTCCAGCTTGGAGCATCAACTAGACCCAACTGCTCTTAGAAAACTCGTGCCCTGTGCCATCGTTATTGAATCCCACCCCCAGGAATACCCTGGAACCAATTCATGTTGGGAAGGACAAGCACCGCTCAGGGACAGACAGTGCCTTCCCACTCCAGGGGTTCCCCTACACTGGCTTCGCCTGGGGAGCCTTTGCCTTTCCTTTGCAGGATGGCAATGGAGTTTTTGTGCCTTTTATTATTCACATTTGCAATCGCGGCCAGACGAATTCTAAAGGAATTGTGAGTCTTCAGACGGTCTCATTAACGCAGATAATTTGCCCTCCGGGGTTTCGCGCCGATGATCCTACACATGACAGCTCTAATCAAAAGATAATTATCGCAAACGCTTTACGGCTCTCGGTTGTTCATAATTCCGATTGGGCTGGCGTTCCCTTCTCGGAGGGGGTTTCTCTGGGCTGACCCAGGCCAGCCAGCCCCAAGGCTGCCGTGGGGGTTACCTCCAGCTCCTGGGGGTGGGAGGTGAAGGCCCGCACCCTCCGCGGGGCCGCGGTGCCGCGCAGCAGCAGGGACAGGCGGGTGAGCTGCCCGGCCGTGCAGGTGACATCCAGGCGCTGCAGAGAGTGCAGGTAGAACTGCCAGATCTGGACAGGTGCTGCCAGCCAGGCGTCCCTGCGCATGGACAGACGGACAGGGCTCATCACACACCACGGGAGTCAGCACTCCCCCCCCCTTTGAGGTCCTGCTACTTACGTATAAATAGCAACAAAGAACTTTTTGATCTGTGGACTTGGTCCTCCGGCTACTTTGAGGAAGATGTCCTGTGGCTCGCCAGGCCCCTGCGCCAGAGCATCATCCCAGAGGTTGATGCTGAGACCAGCTAACAAGAACCCCAGGGCTGTCCTCCCATTAACACAGGAACCCACCACCAACTCCCCTATGAAAGCAGATGCTTTCAGCCCCTCGTTAAACTATGTTATTAAGTTATTATACAGCTTGGCTGAGCTCTTCCCTTATTTTTAATTACAAAAGAGGATACAAATGACTATCGCATTCCAGGTCTGCATCTGTAATCAAATTTTGGCAAATTTTCCGCAAGTTTTCTAACAAGCCCTAATCCAATTACCACACTAACATATTTCCGCAACAGCAATTAGCAACTATCCCTCGTCACCATCTGCACGGACATGCCCAAGTTTATTTTTCCCTCCCACCACCCCCAGCTGCAGAGCCAGCCCAGGAGAGCGGTGCAGGGCTGGGGCACGGAGCTGCCCCACCACCCCCCAGCAGGGACAGGGACAGGCTATCCCAGCCCGACAAAAGGCTGCTTTTCCCCAGTGTCTGAATCATCTGGTACTTGCTCAAAAGAACAAGCGAGCACAGGCTGCTGCGCGCCGCGATAAGGGGCCACGTTCAGCCTCCCCCGCCAAAACAACGCGGCTCCTTTTAATTGGGAATAAAAAGCAATTCCCGTTTCATCACTGCCAGCGTGTCACTGCCACGGGCTGGTACTTGGGGATGCTCCGTGTTTGCACCCACGCTGGCAGCTCCCTACCAACCAAAACAAGCCGTGGGAGAAGGATGCAAAGGACAGTGATGCTGAAGGGTAACGTACCAAGGCTTTGGTCTCGCAAATGATGTCAGGGTCGCTGCAACGAACAAACATCTCAGGCTGTCCCCCTGGTACCCCCACCGGTGTGCCTGTGACCGGGACCAAGGAAACTCACTTGAGCCTTTTCTCTGCCTGTGCTGCTTCCATGTGCCCCACTCAGCCACCCACAGAACCCCTCATGCTGGGCTACCAGCAAACCACAGGGGCGTACTGGTGTGGGGAACTGGGGATGACATTAATGGAAGAAGGTGGATGGAGAGGAAGTGAGGAGCCCAGGGCTTTGAAGGGGTGAGGAAGCAGTGATGTGCTCTCTGGGTGCTCCTGTGCCTCCGGGAAGGCCCCGTGAACCACAGATACCAACTAAGAGAGAACAGACCGTGCCCTGACAGGCACACCGCAGACTCACCAGGGAGGGTGTGCCAGGGTGGCAGCCGAATGGTTTTCTTCAGGAAGGTGAGCTCCGGGTGGTAGAAGCGGAAGGTCTGGTCCACCACGTGGGGCTGTGGCTCCACCTTCACCCGCAGGAGTGCAATGGGCTTCCCCCCGCTCACCTGGAAGGAGACCTGTCCCGGGGCCGGTGGGAGAGGGATGGGGCTCTCCAGGGATGCTGCTCCTCCCGCACAGCCCCTCGGGCGCTGTTTCACCTGGCTCCCTAACCTGGATGAGCTTAGTCCGCCCGGTCCCGCTCTTCCCAAGGGAGGGGGTGTCTGTTTTGGCACTGGTGCCCAGCCCAGATGGCCCCTGCAGGGTGCAAGAGGGGGTTGCCTCAGGATGCAGCATTCCTGTGGCCGCACAGTGCTCTCTGAGGCCATAGCATCCTCCTCTGCATCAGCAAATAGAGCCAGGGGAACACTTCCTTTTGGGAACAGCTCAAAACAGGGACCCGTGCCTACCTGTGCCGCAGTGACGGCAGGGTCTGCGCAGAAGGTCTGGTATTTGAAGGGGATGTGGACAGTCTCACTGGGACGCAGGTAGACCTGAGGCTTGAGGTCATCACGGAGATGGAACATCTCCTCCTCCACTGGCGTAACACTCTTGGTCAGCTCCTTGAAATGGCGCCACTCCCTCGGGTCCAGTATGACACTGGGAGAGTGAGCAGCAGAGGTGAGGACTGGCTGGGAACTGGTACCATCCTGGCATCACCCCACACACACAGGGGTGACCCCACTTCAGCCCCCACCTGAGCTCAGGGTGGTCGACCTCGATGGTCACGGTGTGCTGGATGCTGTACGGGTTCTTCAGGGCAAACTCAAAGAACTCGGCCGTCCCCAGCACGGCGTGGACAGTGCGGGTGGCCGTGATGGCCTGGCTGAGCATCTGGTAGATGCTCTCGCCCTTGATGTGATCCCGGTAGGAGCTGATGACCTGCAGGTCCCAGGCACGCTGCTTCGGCCAGCCCTGCCAGGAGGGAGGGGACTGTAAGCCTGGAGTCACCACGGCATCCCCAGCCCCTGTGCCCTCCTGCTGTCGACACCCTTGTTCAGCCACACCAGCACCATGTGCCAGGGGGTGGCTGTGGCCTCTCTGGAGGTGCCCTGGGGGGTGTCAGGCTCACCTCTGGCCGGCGACTGCGCAGGGCGGCCTCCAGCTCGCCGTCCACGTCCACCAGCCTCCGCGCCCGCACCGTCCGCCCGCCTGCGGGGAGAGAGCACCAGGGCACCCGTGAGGGACCCCCAGACAGTGCAGCCCCAGCACCCCGCAGCACCAGTGAGGGACCCCCAGACAGTGCAGCCCCAGCACCCCACAGCACCAGTGAGGGACCCACAGACAGTGCAGCCCCAGGACCCTGCGAGGTTGCAGGGCCCTGCAGCACTCACCACTGCCAGCGTTCAGGGAGCGCCAGCTGCCAGCTGGGATGGTGACAGTGCTGTCTGGTGCAGGGACAACGCGGGAGTGGGATGGCAGCTGCCCCGAGATCTCCTCGCACGGGTGACCTGCCGTGAGCAGAGACAGGAGTGAGTGGAAACCACCCATTTTCACTGTTATAAAATTTACTGCCAATTTTTATCTCCCTGTAGCTCTGTTCAGCCAAGTTACACAAGCAGGAGGGAATATCTGGAGGCCAGGGATGCCCTGAGAGCCCCGCTGTGCTCCCCAAAACCTGTTCCACCACACAGCCGCCTGCCCAGCAACAGAGTGGCACCGACAGCACACACCATCCCAAGCCCCCCACTGGCTCCTGCTTTCATTTCTGTGTTCTCCCTCCCTGGGCTGCGGCACTGTCACCAGCACAGCCACTCCTGCAAAGGCTGTGCCAAGCAGAGTCAGACAAAGCTCTAAACCCAGTGGGTACTTAACCAGCTTACACATCCTGTCCTCATCCTTTAGGCAGGAGCACCCAGCTTTGCCATCCTGTTTCTAACAATATTTTGAAATTTAAAAATAAAATAGATGATGGGAAAAACACCAATCAAAGGCAGCTGCTGTCCTAGTGCAGCAGCTCTGTTTCCTCCTTCCCTCTTCTTTGGCGGGGTGCGAGTTAAACCTCTCCCTGGGTCGTGGATCTCAGATTCTCCTTCCCAGGAGCTTATCGGCCCTTTGCAGGCAAAGTATGGAAATGACGATTTAAGATATCTTATGGGGAGCTAATCTTTCCTCTGTAGATAAGATTTTAAAACCTGGAGTCACTGCACATTTATAGGACACGAAATTAAATATATAAAATAAAAAGAGCCAGCAGGTTCTGGGAAGGACGCCGCCCTCGCCAACCTGGTTCTCACTCAGGAGAGAGCCAGGTGTCCCACCCAAGCCCTTGGGCCGTGTGAGCTCTCACCGATGTTGGCCAGGCAGAGGTGGAGGCGGCCCCTGAGAGCCACGTGGACGCCGAGGGGCCGCAGGGCTCCGTGCCGCAGCGCCTCCCGGCCCAGCACCGGCCCCTCCGGCTCGTACTCGGTCGTGGCCACCTCCAGCTCGTGGTAGGTCCTGACGGCCGCCTGGCCCTGGCGCAGCAGGGGCTGGGGACGAGGCAAGGACAGGCAAGGTACAATGAGTTACTGGGTGGTCTGGTCCAGGGGGTCAAGCGCTCTGGGTAAGGATGCCGCTGGATGTCCTGGCTCTGGGGGGGTCTAGCCCTAAAATACTGCTGGAGTTCCAGGGAAGGGGAAGACAGCTAATGCTCTGCCATCACTCTGGAGGAGAAGACAACAAATCCCACAATTAGGGCTGACACCAGTCTGGGTTATACAGAGGGGCTGACGGCATCTCCATTACTGAAGACATGGGGACAGCACAGAGGCATCACAACACAGGATCAAAGGGAGAGCCAGGCTGTTCCCTGGCCCTCTGCACGGGAAGGGGGGTCCTTCAGCACTAGCAGTCACAGAGGCTCAAGGGCAAAGACCTTCAACCTAACCAATACCTCCAGTTTAACAGCAGCGGACCCAACGTGGAGCAGGGAGTCTCCATCCCAGACGTCGATCTGGAGGCTGTGCTCGGCCAGGTACCGCAGGAACCAGCGCTGCTCTCCAGGCCGCAGGAAAGCCGGATCCACCATGTACTTCAGCTGCAAGCCCGGGGGTCCTGCAAGACACCACAACATCACAGCCACGGCGCTCGGTGTGGTGGGAGCCGGGCAGCCTCCACACACACCTCAGCCCGCCAGCACTCAGGGATGTACTCAAACACCGGACATTCTGAATGTTTTTCACAATGTGCAAACCAGCAGAGGTTTGCTATTAACAGACACCATCCCTCAGCCTGGAGGTAAGCCCAGAGCTGCCCAACTAAGAGGAGCAGCCACACAGAGATGCTAAAACCAGAGCTTACTGGTGCCGAGCGTCCCGTCCTCATTCAACCGGACAAGGAGCTGTGCCGGCACAGTCAGCCCGGTCACCGACCCCCCTTCTGTGATGACCAGCTGCAGTCGTGGCGTGGTGACCGGTGGGAAACGGTAGAACTGGAAGGTGAGGAAGATGGTCCTCGGCCACGGCCCCTCCACGCTGCCCTGGGCATCCCTTGAGGAGAGGGGTTTGGGTTAGCTTGTGATACAGTGCCACCGCCCCATCACGAGCTCCTCGTGCATTTGGCACATGCCAAGAGAGAGAAGAACAAGAGAAGATTGGCAGCATCACAAGTATTTGGACTTCTCTGAAGACAGCAGCCATACGGTTTGCCTTAACTTTCCAAAAAGCTCAGTAATTCCAGCTGTCTCCTGCCATATGCTGTGATGGAGGCGCCCGGCAAAGGCAGCGCGTTACCTTCTCCCAGCATGCTGCCAGCCAGGGAAAAAACAGAACCGGGGCCTCATCCAGCCAAAGCCACCCCTCGGGTGCCAACTTCCCCAACTGCATTTGCATTTCTGGAGAAACCCTGCATTAACGAGTTCTGACATCACATTGTGGCTCATGGATCCAATTTAAAAAAAAATGGATTATGACTTAAGAGTGCCTGGAAAGGACAACAGTATCATCATAAAACCCTCTGGGATTTGCCTCCATGGCAGGTGCTGGAGGAAGAGGCACCTCTGCAAGGACTCCTCCTGCCCAAGGAGGGAAGCAGGTAGGAGGATTTGGGGAAAGGACTCCGCCCAGGAGGCCCCTGAGATCTGCCCACAGAAGGCACCACCACGAGCTGCCATCCCACCTGCCAAAAGCCAGGAACTGCAGGATTATTTCATTGCCTTGCAGAGGGTCGGCTTCCTCCAGCCGCGGGTTGAAACTGCCCAGCTCCGCCGGCTCCGAGATTTCCACGGGCTCCTGGTTGCGGTCCAGGATCTCCGGGAAGCCGGCAGCATGCAGGCGAGCCAGGGAGGCACGGGACAGTGACACACAGGAACTGATGGAGAAACGGGGGTGAGCTGCACAGAAGTGGCTGTGGGGACCCCGGTGGGCCGGGAGATGGGGACACGGGAGCCCGGGGAAGGGGAGCCGAGCATCACCTGCCTGCCTGCAAGCCCACGGCGGCCATGGGCACCTGCAGGGGGGTGAAGGGCAGCGCCCGCAGCTGGTCACTGGCACCAGGCTCTGTGTCCGGAGAGCCAAGGTCGGCCTCCAGGTGGGTGATGCCCCCATCCTGCAGCGGGGTCTGGTCCTTGCCCTGTGGTGAGGCCATGAGCTGGGACACAGACAGCTGGAGGGAGAGTGACGAGCGTGAGCGCCTGCAGCCCCAAGACAGCCCCCCGAGGCAGCCCCCCAGGGCAAGGTGGGCCAGCAGCCCCTCCGTGCTAAAGGAGCTCGGCTGCCACGTGTGCCAGCATTGCCTTTCCACCAAGAAGCAGCACAGCTTGGCCACGTGAGGGTTCACACCTCCCTGCTGCTCACTCCCTGGCAAGAGGAGGGATAGCAAATGCAGCAGGAAGATCAAACTGCTTAATGTGGCCTTATGAGGTATTTCATTTCATCAAAAATATTTGTGTGCATTTATTCCTGCACTAAGATATAAAACAGCATAAAGAAGGCTCTTGGCATTCATAGCTCTCCTTAAATCCCAGCAGCTCTGCACGAACAAACCGTGTGTCACTGTCAGCACGTACTGGGGACAACAGGACCCAGCAAATCTGGGCTGTCAAAAACCAGAGCTGCCCTCACCAACACTCTTGGGGCATGAAAAGAGCTCAGGGAACCTCCCCCCACATTTCACAGGCAGGATCTGTTTTGCTGCCTGGAAGAGGTGGATTTGAGGACACTCAGTGCCCTCCTGGCCGCAGCAGACAGGAAAGCAGGCAGAGGATGCATGGGGGCCATCCCCTGGGAATGCCACTGCCCACCACCCACGTCTGCTGGTGCCCGTGGCACTTACCCCTGGTCCCCGTGGGGAGCCCGACACTCGCCGTGGGGCTGGCACTCCTGTGGAGAGGGACAGGAGAGAGGCTGTAGCAGAGCTGTCACCCCCAGGCACCCACCACCACTGAACCCCCCCCAATCCTCCCAGCCAGCCCTTTTCAATTTTGGGGGTGAAGGCAGCGCAGCAAAGCTGCTTACCATTGCTGAACCGCTTCTTTTGACTTATTTATCCAACCAGACTGATGCCTGAGGGTTAACATAGCACATCTCCAGATCCATCCGTTATTTTGCTGGGAATCAGGCTAACTCTGCTGCAAACAGCAGCTCCTCCATCCTCCGGCAGTGCCGCGGTGCCCAACGGCCACACGGTGCTGCCCGAGTGGGATGCTTAATGAGACGTGAAAGTTTTAGGATACTTAAGGTTTTCGTTGCATCTCTGTTATTTCTTGTCGCTCCCTTCATCTGCTCATGCATTTGTGCCCCGAAACAGTGGGAGCTTTATTGTGTTTATATTTGGCTGCTCGCTGGCGCCGGCACAGCTGAGCTCGAGGAGCCGCGGGTCCTTCGCAGCAGAGCGGGGGCACAGATGTTCCATCTCTGCATCCACGTGATGCTGAGACCTTATTTTGCTTTCCCCACCACGTATATCCCAGCTATTCCATGCTGGCTGCTGTGCAAAGGAAACCACCCCATCTCTCTCGTGCCTAAAATACTGTTTCCTTTCAGCTGGGAAGGCTTTGGCCTGGGTTAAGGAGAGGATGGATGGATCCATCAGTGCCACCAGCAGCTGAGGTGGCAGAAGAAGCCCTTGACCTCCCCTAGGCCAGACCAGTAGCATGTTTCCCAATGGAACTCTACAAAAAAGTGAACTCAATAGTCTTTTCAGAAGCTTGGAGGGGCACAGCTCCAGGACCACCACTGCACTTCCCAGGCTCTCCCTGGTGCCACAAGCCTCCTGGAGACAGAGAAATACCATGCAGCTCATCCCTGAAAATTGCCCTGCTAAAGGTCTCTCCTTGCCAGGCACAGCCTGTGCCCCAGTCCACTCCCCCAGGCTGGAGCACACCACACCAGTACCGGGCTGGAAGCCCACCAGCAGCACTCGCTCCCCTCTGCCCTCACCACACCACAACTCCACCAACACACCAGCCACCTCCAGCTGAAAGGCACCAGGAAAACCTTCCAAGCAGCAGCAGGAAGGTACCAGCCATGACACAGCCCATGCTACAGGGAGGCAAACCCTGTGACATCATCAGACCCCTTCATCTCTTCCCAAAAGACTTCCTCTCCAAAGTCCCCCCCAGCGGCGATCCTGGTTCCTTGCCGTCAGAGAGACAGGATTTGTCACAGCAAAGCCATGGTGCCACTGCCATCTCGTGGAAGGCACCACAGCATCAGAGCTGGCACGGAACAGGTACCTGCTGCAGTGGGCATCACCCAGCCCACAGGCTGGCACTGAGTGGCTGACCAGAGAGCTGAGGGAGCTGTTAACACTTAAATGCTGCCAGGTGTCTGGAGCATCACCCCGAGACATATCTACAACTCCAGCAGGAACGGCACTGCAGAGGAAAGGGGTGTTTGCTTCCACCAATCACAAAAGGGGGATGAGAGGAAAACAAGCCAGAGAGGATCTCCAGGAGCCTAGTGCATGGACACAACCTCCTGCCCAAACCCACAGCAATTTTCCTTCCAACTGCAACAGAGCAGATGGGTGCTGGAACCTCGACCACCAGCAGCCCAAACTACAGACAAGATGTACCCGAGCACCCAGGCAGATGCTGCCTGCTCTTCCCCAGCCAGGCACCAGCACATCCTGCACACACTCATCAAACCCAGCCTGCTGTCACACCTCCTCAGCAGCAGCACAACAAGACTATTATTCTTTTCCTCAGCCTTTACTGACATCTATCCTGTCCCCACACCTGGAAGGACTCAGAGTCCAGAGAGAGGAGCAGCAGTACTGGCAGTGAGAACGTGCTGCTGGTGTGGCTGCTGTCCCCATTGCCATCAGGATGACCTGGAATGGGAGCAAGCCCCCTGGAATGGGGCAGTGCTGGCAGTCCCTGAGGATTCTGCACGTGGCTCAGCAATACTATCACAGGGGAATTTTGCAAGTTAAAAAGTCAGAGCTGAATTCAACTCGACAGAAACTTGGTTCACTCCAGTAATTCATAACTAGCTTACTGAAACTCGCTGAAGTCGTGTTTTCTCTCCCAAGCAGACACCAGTGCCACACTCTATATTTTAAATGTCAGCAAGCTGGAAAACACTCACTCAGCGATGGCGTGGGAGGCTGCTCCGACTCGTCCCTGTCTTTACACAGGATCTCCGCAGCAGTTACAAGATGTTCTTCCGAATCAGTAGAAACATGGAATTGGACAGTCCCAGACTCCACGTGCTTCCCCTGAAATTGGAAACGAAATGCTTTCAGACAGCGTGTTACATGCAGCCTCCCTCACGCCTCTGACAGCGGCTCCCTGCCCAGCAGAGCTGCCAGGGGCCAGCAAGCCCTTACCTGCCGGGAGCTCCTGCTGCTTGCTGGCGTCCTGTAGACCAAGGCTTGGCAGGGGCCACGGCAGGCACCCCCACGCAGGGGCAGGACCACCTCGGTGTCAGCCGTGCCCGGGTCGGGGCTCCAGACAGCCCAGCGCACCGAGCGCATGTCGGCCCCCTCACCGCGGGCACCGCCGGGCACGGCCTGGGGACGGGCAGCACAGTGAGTGCCAAGGAGACCCACCTCGCCACCAGCACCAGGGAATGGGTGCTGCCAGACAGACACTGGCTCTCGTCTCCCACCACACCTCCCCACACCCGGCTCTGGTGTCACAGAAGCCACTGCCCTTCATCCCGTCCTGGAGACGTTTCACTTTCCAGCACCTAATCTCTCTGTAACCCCTTGCTCAAGCAGCAGCATGAAGGGATACGTGTTTGACCCCCATCCCTGGCAGAGGGGAAAGGTTTCCACTTACCCAGTACATCCACAGCCTCCCTCAAATCAAAGGAGAGGCACAGAAGCAAGAGAGGTCTCTTCCAGCACCCCCCATCCCCCTCACAGCTAATTATTGCACGGAGGACAAGGACAAGGTGATCAGCTCCACAAGCGGCTTTGGGATTAACTGCTCTGCCACAGGAACTTGCTCTGCCACTGCCCCAGCCAGTGCTCCCAGCACAGCCAGACAGACCTGCCTCTGGAGCCCCAAACCTCTGTGGGACACCAGGCTTCCACCTTCCCACAGAGCTGGACTCAACAAAATTTCCAGCTGCAAGGCTCAGTACAAATCCCTCTGGTCTGGCACACACATCCCACTTTATAAATACCCATTTCCCCCACTTTGGATCTGGACAGCTCTAACAAGAGACATTTGCTGCATTTTCAACAAATATCTTGGCAGGATGATTAAAGCCTCCTAACGAGCACTGGGCCATCAATTCAGCCAGCCAGGAGCCAATGGCTCCAACAGCACAGGGTCTCTGGAGAGAACACACAGCACTCACTGAGCTGGGTTTAACCTGCAGAAAGGTTAAACTGAAATGCACAATAAGTAGGTAAGAGTGTATTGACTGCAGAGACCAAGCTCAGAGACTTCTCCTGGCTTTATGCTCTGAGAACATCAGGCTGGAGCACCTGGAAAAACCTCAGGATTCAAGAAAAAAAAAAGAAAAAAAATGTGGGAGGGGTTAACCTCTTTTCAGCATAAATGCTAAATTCTAAAGAAAATCCTTTTTTATATTAAAAAAACCCTGAAATTTTCCAAATTAGCTTGCCAGAACTATAGGACTGCTGCAGGCTACATTCCTCCATCTACACAGTGGAGAAATGCAACCCATGTAATTAAAATGATTCAACAAGCCCGTTTGCAGGGTATTTCACCCAGTGCTGCAGAAAACACCCAGACACTTTGCAGGGCCCTTCGTTAGCAATGCAACGAGGAGCTGCCATGACCTGCAGGAGCAGGATGGCAAAATGGGCAGAGGAAGGAGTTCCTGAGCAGGGCTCACTCCTCCAGCAGGATCCCTGCTCTTCCATAGAGGATGGAGACGAGGCACACGCACACTCGGTCCTACCTTCCCACCGGCTCTCCCTGTGCTGCTCAGGACGTACTCCAGCTGGAAGCACACCCTGAATGCCGGGTGAGGGACCATTTCACTCAGGTGGATGCGGCTCCTCAGCACCAGGGCTTGACCTGCATCCCTGTGCAGGATGGAGAAGTGGCTGTGGCAGCATCCAACGCAGGAGAGAAGCAGCCCCAGCAGCAGAGGGCTGCCCCTTTACCTGGCTCCGGAGCCGGACGCCCCTCGGCAGCCGCCTGGCACCACCTCTGTCTCTGGCACCAGCACCGCAACCTGCGGCACCCGCACGAAGCGCAGGCCGTTGTGGACACCCACGTGCAGCCGCCGCTCCCGAATGGACACCTGGTCACCGTCGGGCACGGCCTGTGCCTGGGACAGGAGAGCTGTCACAGCTCGGGCAGCGCCATGGGATGGCACAGGGTCACTCTCAGGGTCACTCCCTGCACTGCCCACAGCCAGGAGAGCTCAGACAACCCTTCAGAAGCTCGAACAACAGGACCCACGCCCCCAGCAGCTGATGGATTTTAAAGTCTTTCATCTTTATGGTAGAGTCGGTGCAAACCCGGCAAACAAAGGACCTGGCCAGTGGCTGCCACTCCAGAAACACACTCGATACTGCATCTTGTCTCTGCATTTCCCACAGCAGAGCAAACCCAAATTCTGCTTAGGAGTGTGTGGATGTTCAACACAAAGCCTGTGTGGAGAACCCATGTGCTAATCCAGCAGGGAAGCAAGCTAAAGGCTTCCACAGTAAAAAAAAATTGGAGACTCCAAGGGAAACAAATGTACAAGTACCATTTATCTGACTCTTTCCACCCCACCCACAAACAAGGCACTGGCAGCACCTAGAAACATGGAATCATGGAATGGTTGGGGTTGGAAGGGACCTTAAGGATCATCTTATTCCAACACCCTGCCATGGGCAGGGACACCTTCCACTAGCCCAGGTTGCTCCAAGCCTTGTTCAGTCTGGCCTTGGACACTCCCAGGGATGGGGCAGCCACAGCTTCTCTGTGCACCCTGTGCCAGGGCCTCCCCACCCTCACAGCACGTTACTTACCTGAAGTAAGCGATCACTGTTCAGGAAGTCCAGCAGTTCCTCCTCAAATTCCTCCAGGGAAGGGTACAGCCGGACAGACAACTGCTCCAGGTAGCAGGTGACCGCCTTCATCAGCCGGGGCTTCTGGAAGCAGTCACCTGAAAGACAAAGTGGTGGCCACAGGTTTCCCAAGCAAACAGAAAGCCATCACCGCTGTGCTGTGGTGCCCTGTGGTGGCTCTGCCCACTCAGCTTCCAAGCACAGGGCTGAGCACCCGCAGGGACTCAGCTGCTTTGGAGACCTCACTCAGCTTCAGCAGCAACAGTTACAACCCCAAAGCCATCAGCAGTGGGTTTTCCAGGCAGGAAGGTGAAGAATAATTCAGCTGCGGAACTGTGAGGAATTTTTACCCTCTGAATCTTCATCTCACACATTTTAATTGCAGCAACTCAAAGGGCAACGTGCCATAGGCAGAGATTAACGAGGGCTGAGCAGGCAAGAGCTCATCCCCTAAACCTGACAGACCCCAGCGATCCTGAACCTACCACCAAGGAGTTTAAACAAGCTGCAAGGCCTGTTCCTAAGACTCTGCTGAATGACTGTAATTAAACCAACCAGCACTTATCCCTGGCAGCAGCTTCCCAAGAGCGAAGCAATTAACGGACAGGGAGCAGACTGAGCCATTCTGACGTGTTCCAGGCTGAGCCCTGAGCGTGAGGGCTGCGGCCCCACACAGGGGAGATGCCCTTGCCAGGAGGCAGCACTGCAGAGAGTCCAACGGTGCTCCCAGAAATCCCATCCCAGCACCCTGCCTGCCCTGCCTGCAGCCTCCTGGGGATCCTCTGCCTTCAGCAGGAGCAGCGCAGGCAGAGGGAAAGGGAAGGAGCCCTTACCCGTGTCTCCACATGCTGGCAGCAAGCCAGGAACCGTCTGCAGCCCAGATACCAGCAGGTTTTCGGGAAGGAGGTGAAATATTGTCTCCAGGGGCTGGTGGTGCTTCAGGGCATACTGCAGGTGGCTCTTCTCCATCACCATCAGGTATTTGTTCTCTGAAGAAAAGAAAAACACCCGAAATGACCAAAACTGGGGAGACAGCTTCACAGAGCCAGTGTTACAGGAATCATTATCCATGAACACAAGTGCTAGGAGCAAAGGAAAACCCGGGTTTGCCCAGCCAGGCTGTTCCCAGCTGGCAGTAAGGCACGTCCACTGAGCACTACCAGGACACGGGTCATGTCTCACATCAACCAGACGTGCACGACACACATTTGGGTAAGAGAGGTCACCAAGAAGGGACCAAGATGCCACATCTGGCTGCTGCTTACTTTCCGTAGGGTCCTGGAAGTGTGGGTGCAGCAGGGCCCGCGGTGTGCCATGGTACAGCTTCAGCCTGAAAGCAGAGAGCACACACACAGCGGTCAGTAAATCCATGCTGAGGCACATCTCCATCCTCCATTACATCTCCAGCTTCCATAAGGCCCCTGCTCAGCCCCCACCCACTCTGCAAAAGCCCTGTCCTTTAGAGAAGGGACAGGCATTCCTCCCAAATCCATCACTGCTTCCCCAGAGTGGAGAATTCCAGGTTTCTAAATGCTGGCTTTGTTTCTGCAGCCCCAGGACCACCCTTTCTTCCCCCAGAGCAGCCATGCACACGGCCACCCCAATTCCTAACGTGTCCTGCCATTCAGCAGCAGGGGAACCCACGCTCTGTCCTCAGTGGCCGGGTCTGTCGCCTCAGATCCGCCGCGGAAGAGGGGGATGATTCCAAAGCCACAGGAAAGGTGCTGAGAGCCCTCGTCCCCTTTCTCGGCCTTCACTACCACTTCCACGACAGCAACGATGCCAGGGTGGTTCAAGGAGGTGTGGAAGTAAACAGTCTGGGATGGGAAAGAAAAGAATTAGGATATTCCAGAGCTGGCAGCAGCAGCTGCAGGCAGAGCAATGCCTGTTGCACTGGGACAGCCAGTGGCACAAGCAGAACATCCACTAAAACTTCCAGACAGAAGCTCATGGCAAATGATCTCAGACACTACTAAGAAATCTCAACTCCTTAAATCTCAAACATTGTTATCCCTTTTTTTTTAAAAAGACTTTTTTTGTTGTCATCACCCATTTTCCAGGGTAACTCACAGGCTGCAGACCCCAAACGAGCAGGGCTTTGATGCACCCTGGCCCTACAGCATTAGAGCCAAAGGAGCTGGAAACCCTCCTGCAGCGGGGAGGGAGATGGGGGTGGCCTGGACCTGAAGGCAGGAGGGGACAGGACACAGGTCACCTCTCCAGACAGGATTTAAAGCTAGATTAATCTTTCTATTAAAAACTCATTACCCCACTGTTTGAGAGAAAATATTCCCTGCAATCACAGGCTGTCAGGAAGGGATAACAGAGAGAGACATTCCCACATCAACCCCGGGACATAAATCGTTATTCCATTAGCCTTTATTGCAAGGTGCTGCTTTAACAGCCTGACCCCTGGTTGAGAAGCAGGGCTCACTCTGCAAAGGCACGGGGAGCCCTTACAGCGGGTCCCATGTGCCACTGAACGCACACAGTGCTTTGTGACAGGGCATTCCTCTCCCCTAAACCCCGAGGACAAAATCCACCACACCTGCAGACCCTGATCCCTGCCCTCCTGCCATCCTACTCTGGTGAGTGTGCAGGCAGCACCTCCACCTGAACCCCTCACAACACTGACCTGCTGATCACCATGCAGTTGAAAGATCCCACCCCTGTGCCAGACTCCGAGCCCTGCAGCTGCAGGGACAGGCAACGCAACTCAGCCACCACAGAGAGGCTGTGACACACTGCCCAAACACCCCAAAACTCCTGCCAGCTTCTCCCAAACACACAGCAAACACCCAGGAAGCCTGCAGACACAGGGAATGTGTTTGGAAAGGCAGCTCCTCCCAGCATCCAGCTTTCTCCACAGCACTCCCTGCCCTAGTTTTAATCCATTCCTCTTCAAAACAAGCCGGGGTGGGACGGTACTGAAACACTTGGGAAAGAAACGCACATATCAACACCCCTCAACGCTGCTGACAATGTAAATGGAGGCAGAGCACAGCACCAAGCTGTGCTTCACTTCACCTGCAGCGCTGAGGAGTGGAAACAGGAGTGATGAATTGGAAAACGTGACATCTCGGCTATGGGTCATGCCATGAGGCAACAGGATCTCCCTGGTAAGGGGCACCTTGGTTTGCTCAGCGTTGGAAGAGTTTAGTTCCCAGATAGAGAGAAGTGGTGTGCTGGAGGGTGGGCAGCTGCTCATTCCCCTCCTTCCCACTCGTGGGGAAACACTGCTCTCTGCTGCCGGCTCTGAACACAGCAGGTGGCACATGGTGGCACATTGCTGCTCCCGTGGTGGGACCAGCCCCGGGGGTAACCCAGCACCCCAATTTCCCCATCCCAATAAACCCTGCATAAACCTTAGTCACCAGGCAGCGTCTGGGGCACACCCTGGGCAAAGGGTCGGGAAGCGTCAGGAGGGAAAAGGGTTTGGTGCCGCGTTTCCCCGGACCCACAGCAGCCCCTACCTCGCTGAAGGTCGCCCTGGAGGAGCGTGGTGGGGCAGCGTGGGCAGCCTGCCAGCTGCTCCTCCACGTCCTCCCGAAGAAGTGGTGGTAGGTGGCATCGAACAGGGACAGGCGCAGCTGGTACTCGGCTCCCTGCAAGGCACAAGGCACTGGGGACACTCACGGACACGCCAGCTCTGCACCCCCAGAGCTCAGAACACGCTTTGGTGAGAGAGGACAGATAATTCCCGTTTTCTAAGGGATGCCCAATTCGGGCACGTGGCCACTGACACCTTCATGCATTGCTGCAGAACCTGCCTGAAAGCGAGAGACTAATGGAGCAAAGGAAAAGTGGGAAAGCTGAATGTTAAGCACAGAATAAGGGGGCAGCAAATGTTCAAGTGTTACGTGGAGATTTTTAATTTAAATATACTTCGTTAACAAAAAATAAATGAAAAATTAATTAAAGGCTAACTCAGATTTGCAGGTGAGAAGGCACGGGATTGAAATACAGCTGTGATTTGTGTTTCCGGGAGATTTCCAGTTAGTTCCCCCTAAAAACATCTCGTTTTGAAAGCCCCCACCCCTGGGAGGTTTGGCCTGCACACAGGAATCAGCCAGGAATGCTGAAAGGGGCTTAGAAAAAACACAGTGATGGAACAAGGGGAAGGGGTTTAAACTGAAAGAGGAGAGGGAACTTCTTCCCTGTGAGGGTGGTCAGGCCCTGGCACAGGTTGCTCAGAGCAGCTGTGGCTTTCCCATCTGTCCAGGTTGGATGGGGCTTGGAGCAACCTAGTCTAGTGGAAGGCGTCCCTGCTCACGACACGGAGGTGGAAGGAGATGATCCTTAATGCCCCTTCCAATCCAAACCATTCCATAATTTTGTGAATCGTGGGACTGGGCAGAAGCCACTGGGTCAGCAAGACACTGCCAGGGTCCTCCCGCAGGGCCGCGCTCCCCTACCTGGGCGAGGGCAGCGCCGTGCAGGTACTTGAGGACGCAGCGGAAGGCGGCAGAGCGGGGCGCGGGGCGGGCGCGGCCCCGCTGCGGGTGCGGCGGGAGCGGCCGGTGCTGCCGGAACACCCGCTCCCACTCTCCCATCGCGCTCCGGGGGTCGCCGCTGCCTCCCGGCGCCGGCTACGGCGGGCGCGGGGCTGGAACAGCGGGGGACACGCAGCCTGCGGGAACACGGGCCCCGCACAGTCAGCGCACACAGCCCCGCGCACCCGCGCGCACGTGGGTGGGGACGCGCCGCTGCCCACGCCCGGCCCGGCCCGCACCCGCCTGGGGATGCACACACAGGTACAGCCGGGGCCGGCCCGGGGCCCGCCCGCCCGCGCACCGCCGGGACCCCCATCCCGGGAGCGGGACAGTCCCGCACCGCCCGCGCCCCCCCGCTCACTCACCGCGCCCCGACGCCATCTTATCGGGCCCGACCAACCGCGCGCCGGGCCAAGGGGAGGAGAGGACGCGCCGCCGCCGCTCGCCGCTCCGCCGTCCGCCTCCCGCGCACCCTCGCCGGGGGGAAGAGGAGAGACGCGTCGGCGGAGCGACACCGGAGCGATCCCGCAGAGGCGCGGGACGCAGCAGCGGGGCGGAAGCGGCGGCGGCAGCGTCGGTCGTCCCCCCCCCCGCGGCGGGTGGTCGCGCCCGCCTCAGCATCGGGTTACTAGGGCGATGGTGCCGCACCGCGCGGGGCGGGGCCTCGCGCTGGGCCCGGCCGGCGCCGCAGCCAATGGGGGCGGCCCGGCGCTCTCGTTCTATGCATACGGCACGAGAGGCGGGCGGCGCGGCCAATGGGCGGTGGGCGGGGCGGGGCCAGGCGGGGCGGGGCCGCCCCCCACGAGGGCGCGCGGCGGAGCGGCGGGAGCGGCGGACGCGGGGCAGGTGCGGGGGCGCGGGGGGAGCGGGGCCGGCACCGGCACCGGGGCGATGGCGGGGGCGATGGGACCGGGCAGGGCCCCGGGCAGAGCCGCGGGCAGAGCTGCGGGCGAGGCCACTCCGCCGCACGCCCCTCCCGGCTCTCCCCGCTGCGGGGAACGGGGCCCTCGCCCCGCCGCCGGCTCTCGTCCCAGCGGGACCCTGGGCTGTGCGGGGACGGGGGTGGTTGGCCGCCGTCCAGCGGTGGTTCGTTCCCCCAGCAAGGCGAGGTGACCCTGCGCGTGATGCTCAGGTGGCCTGCGGCCTGTCGCCGTACACCGGGAGCGGCGGGGCTGGAGCCCCGGTGACGCGGCGTGAGTCGCCGGCAACGCTCCGGTGACTCGAGAGTGGGAATGTTGGATTTTCCCCAAGCATCGTCCGGTTTCCTCGTCAGAGCCACTTTGTGCACAGCGGGTCAAACGTCAGGGTTCCTTCAGTTTCCTTCAGTTTCCTGCCGTTCCTCGGTCCGTTCCTTGTCTCCGGTTGCGGCGGTGACCGGGGGCTGCGGGTGGAGGGAGCCCCGAGCCCTGTGGAGGGTCTCCGGTCCCCTCGCAACCCGTCCGCAGCCACGGCTCCCTCACCTTTTCTTCTGCCGGGCCCGAAGCTCTCGGGCCTCTGGCTCAGCAGCCTCCAGTTTTTGAGGCTGTTTTCCTTGTGATGGGGACCCCCGTTGGCCCCCTGCCCGCTCAGCCCGTGGCTGTCACGCGGAGCTGTTTCATGCCGGTTCCTGGGACAGTTCACACAGGCACTGCGGGCTTTCGTCCAGGTGAGACGTGGTCCGTGCCGCTGGCACCCAGCCTGCTTCCCAAAACCACAGGTTTCCTCCCAAAGCGTCGCTGGGTGCAGCGCGGTGGGTGAGTGCCACAGCAGGCTGGGTGAGATGTATCCAGTCTGTCTGTATCACATCCATGTACAGGCTTGTTGCATATATGCAGTGATTTTTCCGGCTGGTGAGCAGGAAACGCCTCTGCACACAGCTGCCGACAGAAGATTCGTGAGGGCTGCTGGTTTTATTAGTTATTATTACTATTGTTTTGATGAGGAGGGCAGGAGGGCCAGCCGTCACCTGCTCTTGGTGTGCAGGTCTGCAGGTTGGATGCATCACAGAGCAGGAGGAGAACGACTTGGCACATGACTCCCACCCTCTGCTGGGGGAGCAAAGCCACTGATGCTGGGAGCATCCCCGAACAGGATGGGGTTTATGGCCTTCCCTACCTGTCACTGGCTGTTCCTGGAGCTGCTGTGGCATGGACAGCAGGCAGCCTGCAGGGTTCACCCACCCTGGCAGTTCCAAGTGGTCCCTGTCAGTGTCGGCATGGTTTGGAGCAGGCAGCATGCTTGTTGGCCCCGTCGCTGCCAGGACAGTGCTGGAAGGGCAGAGGAAGTGCCAAGATGCTGCCACGAAGCTGAGTATGACTTGGCTGAGGGAGAGGAATCATGTTTTTCCTAATTTATAAGTGCCAGAGCACCACTGTGTGTCCAAAACCCTGACCCCTTTTGCAGGCTTGGCCTCTAGTTTTCCTGTTAGTTCCAGCTGCACCGGTGTTGTTATTGCTGCGGGATCACTGCGGGGACCAGCCTGCTCCAGTTACTGGGGTGTCTCCGGGGGGTGGGAGGGAGGGGGTTTGCTCGAGGTGACCAAAAAGCCAAAGGCGCTGAAAAGGCGTGATGGGCGAGAGCCGAGGGGGACGGGCCACCGGCGGCGGGACTGACCCCGGTGCTGGCGGCAGCCCCGCAGCATCACTGCCGACGCTGTATTTGATTTTTTTAAGAAAAACACCCGGCGTGATCTAAGGCAGCGATGATGCAGCTCGTGCCCAGGCTCCCTGCGGCCCCGGACCAGCCTCCCCCCGCCTGAGCTGCGCAGGGGCGGTCGGTGGCAGCCGCTCGCTCGCCCACGCGCTGCCGGTGCCGGGTGCGGCGCCGACACGGTTAAGGCACCGGCGGGATCGGGAGCCGGCTGCAGCCACCGGCGGAGGCAAACTTGCCGAGTCAGGATGTGAGAGCGGCAGGGACGGCTCTGCAGCATCCCTGGGTGCTGCGGTATCCTGGGGCGCGGAGGGCTCAGCTTCCCCCCTCCGCCAGACGCCTTTTCCCGGGGACGGAACGGGAATGGGGTAGGAACCGTCATCCGCTGCGTTTGCCGCCGGCTGTAGCAGCTGCTCTGCGCCGGCACCGGCGCCGCTTCCCGAGACCAGCGGAGCCTGCAGCTCTCCGGCAGCCGGGCTTTGACTCGTTCCTTTGCGCCTCCTGACCTCGCGTCTCCCTCCGTCCGAGCACCGGAGCCAGGTAGGTGCGGTGCTGGGTGCGAGCGGGGCCGCGGCGGTGGCTCGGCCGTGCCCGGCCGGCAGCCACGGCACGGCGGGGACCTGGCAGGGTCACACATCGGGGACACGCGGGTGCTCGGTATGCTGGCGGACCCCGGTACTTTGGCACTGGTGTACGTGACGGCAGAGCCGGAATAACCCCGGCTGGCGAGCCGCGTGTGCGTTCGGGCTGTGTCATTGACTCGGCAGCCGAGCTGTGCCGGCGCTTCGGCGGTCACGGGCGACCTCACGTGTCGCAACTGAATCCCCGGCACCCGCCTGCTGCGCTGTCGCGATGATGGGCTGGGGAAGGCGCCGGAGCCCGGCAGCGCAGTCGGAGGGGCCCGGCGGGCTGGGGGACGCTGCGCCGCAGGAGAGGCTCCCGGGCCGAGGGAAGGGGCAGGGCTGCTGCTCTGCGGATCCCTGCGGCGCCCGTGCAGCCGGGGGGGGCACGGGACCAGCGCGGGGCATGAGCGCAGGGGTGACGGCAGGAGGTGCCCAGGCGACAGAGCAGGGCAGCGTGAGTCATTGGGCTAAAGTCACCTTCCCCGTGGCGTCGGGGGGGGGAGCATTTGCTGCAAACACGGTGAAAAAGGGTCAGAAATATGGGGACGGGCACCTGGCGAGGGGAGATGCTCCATGCCACATTCCCTGCATCCCTTGCCTGAGCAGCTGGGCGGGATGCTGAGGTGCCCAGGGCAGGGGTCTCCCAGGGCCTCACCCTTGGGGGATCAGGCTCATCAGAAGCAGTGGTCTCGTCCTTACATTCCCATTAGTTCCATGTGCGGTTTCCCCCCATCCTGCTCCGATAGCAGTGTGTCTGGGAGGCTGCAGTCTGTATTCCCCCCCAGGCTGGCCCAGCAGACTTTGGCTCCTGGGGCTTCCCGGGCGTAAACTGTCAGTGTCGCAGCACCCGTGCTCTTGTGCCCCATCCTGCTACCAGGGACAGGGATGGAGCCCCGTGGGAGCACAAACTATCAGGGCTTCTGCACTTTTCATCTGGCTCCTGGGTGCATCCTGCAGAAGAAAACACTTTTCTTCCTTTTGGGGATATTGTCCCACAGAAACCACCGCAGTTGAGGACTCGCAGCTGAGTCGTGCTGTGAGGAACCTGGAGGTGCAGGAGCCGCCTCAGGGAAGCACCAAACTGCCGGCATGGACTGGACTGGGCTTTTGGCAGTGCCTTTGGCTTGGAGAGCTCAGAGGGGTGCATTGGCCCCCGAGGCCAGAATGCTCCAGCTCCTCAGGCTGCAGAGCCCTGAACTGTGTGCCTGTGGTCCAGCCATGCTTCCCAGCACAGTCCCTCCAGCGCCGCCGGAGACTTGCCAGCCACTGTGCTCAGCCCCTGCAGCATTGCTGGGAGGCAATGGGGAAGGGGCATCAGGTCCTGTTGAAAATACCAGAGAGCTGAGCTCCTGGCACCACAGCCCCCCCGGGATGCAGAAGCAGCCCATCCTGAGCCACTCAGGAGTCCGGGACTGTGGCAGCACAAGCAAGGAGCTACATGGCTGTGCTGAGGCATGGGGGGCCAGCTGTCCCCCCTGCAGGCATCCCCCAGCTGCCTTCAGCTTCGTTCTGCCACCACCAACAAAGTGATGCTGAGCAGGCATGAGCAGTCAGGACGGTGCCCAGCCGGTGGCTGCCACTGCCAGGCGAGGCCGTGGGAGCTGCAGAGCCAACACGAGCATCCCCCAGGAGAAGCTGGGGCATTGCAAGGGCTCGAGGGGCTCGGCAGGGTCCTGGCTGTGGGGCTTGGCAGGGTCTGTTCCGGGCGCAGGGCACTGCTGCAGGGCCGGGAGAGAGCAGCTCCCTCCTGACCGCTCAAAAATAAACCCGGCTTAGCTGAGCCTGCCTGCGCTCTGGCCCCGGCGCGGCTGCGGCCAAGAGAGACGCGCTCCTGTGGCGCTCGGGAGAAGAGCGCTGGGGATCTGTGCCGGGGCCGCAGCGGGGCCGGGAGCTGCGGTGGGCGGGCGGGCGGCTCCTCGGGGACGGGCTCGGCTGCCGCAGCCGCTGCCATTGGGCTGCGTGGGCTGCAGGGGCTGCGCCGGGATGCAGGCACGCCGTGCTGGGATGCCGGAGGGATGCGGGATGCGGGAGGGATGTAGGATGCTGGCACACTGTGCTGGGATGCAGGAGGGATGCAGGCTGTGGATGCAGGATGCGGGCTGGGATGCAGGCAGGATGTGATATGTGAGCACACCGTGCTGGGATGCGGGATGCAGGCATACATGCTGTGCCAGGATGCAGGAGGGATGCGGGATGCAGG